AGTTTCATTACCTTGTAGCTCTAGTAAAGTTATTGTTCCTTATGCTATTGAACCAATCAATAATAATGGAGGACAAATTGATGATCCCACTATTCATGAAGAAATCATTGTTGATGAACCGAATGAACCCATAGTAGAAGAACCACAACAAATAGCATTTAGAAGATCTCAAAGAGAAAGGAGACTTGCTATTTCTAATGATTATGTGGTATATCTACAAGAGTTTAATTTTGACATGGGTATTCAAGATGATCCAATAACGTTTTCACAAGCCATGAATGGAGAAAATAGTGATAAATGGTTAGATGCTATGAAAGATGAGTTGAAATCTATGGAACAGAATAAGGTCTGGGATCTTGTTGAGTTACCAGGAGGGTGCAACAGAGTTGGTTGTAAATGGGTCTTTAAGACCAAACGTGACTCTCATGGTAACTTGGAACGTTACAAGGCCAGACTAGTTGCAAAGGGATTCACTCAGAAAGATGGCATTGACTATAAAGAAACTTTCTCACCAGTTTCAAAGAAGGATTCTTTAAGAATTATTATGGCATTGGTGGCTCATTATGATCTAGAGTTACACCAAATGGATGTGAAAACCGCCTTTCTAAATGGAAATTTAGATGAAGATGTGTACATAGACCAACCAATGGGGTTCATAGAAAAGGGTAAAGAGCACATGGTGTGCAAACTTAGGAAGTCAATATACGGACTTAAACAAGCTTCACGGTAATGGTATCTTAAATTTAATGATACTGTTGTTTCCTTTGGATTTAAAGAAAACATCGTTGATCGATGTATATATCTGAAGATCAGTGGGAGCAAGTTCATCTTATTGGTTCTGTATGTTGATGATATTTTGCTTGCAACTAACGATCTTGGTCTTTTAACTGAGACTAAGAAGTTTCTCTCTAGTAACTTTGAAATGAAAGATATGGGTGAGGCAGCTTATGTGATAGGAATAGAAATATTCCGTGATAGATCACAAGGACTGTTAGGTTTGTCTCAGAAAGCATATATTAATAAAGTTCTAGAGAGATTCAGAATGGAAAACTGCTCATCGTCTCCAGTTCCAATTCAGAAAGGAGATAAGTTTAGTCTCTTACAATGTCCTAAAAGTGAATTGGAACGAAAAGAAATGGAAGCAATTCCGTATGCATCATTAGTTGGGAGCTTAATGTATGCTCATACTTGTACGAGACCAGATATTAGCTTTGCAGTTGAGATGTTGGGTAGATACCAAAGTAATCCCGGTATGAATCATTGGAAAGCTGCAAAGAAAGTTCTGAGATATTTGCAAGGAACTAAAGGTCACATGCTTACTTATAGAAGGTCTAGCAACCTTGAAGTTATTGGATACACAGATTCGGATTTTGCAGGATGCGTAGACACAAGAAAGTCTACATGTGGTTACCTGTACTTTTTAGTTGAAGGAGCTATATCATGGAAAAGTGCAAAGCAGACTGTAATAGCTGCGTCCACTATGAAAGCTGAATTTGTGGCATGCTTTGAAGCCACGATTCAGGCTAAATGGCTACAGAACTTTATTTCAGGGCTTGGATTGGTCGACAATATTGAAAAGCCGCTGAAAATTTATTGTGATAATTTCGCAGCAGTCTTCTTTTCTAAAAACGACAAGTATTCCAAAGGTGCTAAACATATGGAATTAAAGTACTTTGCCGTTAAAGAAGATGTTCAGAAACATAGAGTGTCAATAGAGCATATTAGCACCGATCTTATGTTAGCTGATCCCTTGACGAAGGGACTATCGCCCAAGACATTTACTACGTAAAATGGGCATTATGTCAGCTAGTGAATGATAAAAAATTATAGTTATGCATTAAGTGTTGACACTCTGAGCTCATTGATGAATATATGTTTCTGATATTGTCTTATTTTCAATTTATGAATGCATGCAAGTATATGTGATGATATTGAAAATAATTATGGTCCGTTATGAAGACATTTTTGTTGGACATAATGTACACTTCCTATTAAAGTATCATGTTAGGAAGAAGAGTCAATATAGTAGTACATGGAAGGGACTATGCCGACTTGATAGCATACAACCGCCATGACTCATGTTGATTTTATTTCTAATAATGAATTATGATGACGTCAATGTATGGAACCTTTAGCTTAGTAAATGCGCATTAAAGTTAATGTTAATTAAATCATGAAGGGACACCTTATGACATGAGCCAAGTGGGAGAATGTAAAACTATTTGTGTCTCATGTGTGATGTGTGTCAATTGGTTTGATTAATAATAAAAGAGGCTTTAAGGTAATTGACATTTCGTATTAATGGGAATTGACGTTTTGACGTTTTACATTATGGCAACGTTTCGCATTTATAGTAATTGACGTTTTGACGTTTCGCATTAATGGGAAGTTACACGGAGTTAATTGAAATTCTGTAACTGGTGACATGGTTCAGTTATATAAAGTGAAAAGTGGTGAGTCTCTGACAATGATAATCTCTCAGAATTCTCTCCCTTCATAGTCTGCCCATAAAAGTTGTATCAGATCCCTGTCATAGACGATACAAGAAAAGCAGAGGGTAAAGACTCTGAGAAACGACGTTCCATCATCAAAGTTCTTCCGCACTAATGGAGAAAGGTACACTCTTATGTGAAAATCATGAATTCTAAAGATCCTCTGTCATGTTCTTAGAATGTTAATTGATGAACATGAATCATGAATCATTGTTGAAATGCTTACAGTAAAAAGTAGTAAGTATAACCTCCCCCTAACGGAATAGGTATATCTTTATCAAAAAAGAAAGAAAATAGATATATGAAAGGAAATAATTATAAAGATAAGTGTAGTTTAAATGTATTATTTTATTTTTATACATAAATGTATGGGAAAAATGTTTATCCTTTTAAATGACACAACTTATATCTTTTCACTCTCACAAAGAGGTGAGACCCACATCTTTATTTTTTTTGTCAACTCTCTCTCCTCCTTTATCTATCTCTTTCTCTCTCTTAAAATGACACAACTTTACATCCTTTAAAATGACACACACTTTACCCTAAACATATTACTTATTTTATAGTTTAAATGGTCTAATTCCACAAGCCATTTGTAATCAATTCTCTTAGGATGTGTTTAGTATAGGTTATCTTCAAATTTTGCTAGGCATTTGAAAGTGGATAAATAAGTTGTCCATGTTTGATACTGGTTATTTAAAAATTTACCTAGCTAACTGAGTTGCCTAGCAATTGAGCTTTGTGTGCAAATTTGGACCAAAAGTACAAAGCTCAAATCCAACTTTGATGATGGTATTCGATGGATAACCATCTAAATTAGGCAACAGTGGAACTATAATATAAACCATCATTATTTTATGACAGAATTATCCCTTTCATTTGATGACTTTAGGCAACAGTGGAACTAAATTAAAATATTGTAAAGGGTTATTTTACAATTTCAACTTATTTTCCATTAATATTTTATCTTCAACTAAATATAGATTCAGGAAATTTCATTCAATTTTCCCGGTAATATTTTGTCCAACCAAATATTTTTTTTTTAACTTTTCTACCTAACTCATTTTCCTTGCAAATCCCTAGTAATTATATTTTTCTGATAAAAAAAATCACCTGTACCAAACACCCCCTTGAGCCTTTTTGGTATCTTCGTTTTTTCTTTTAAGTTAAAATTTATTTTTAATGTAAAGTTAAAAAAAAAAGCTTAAAAAATAAAATTAAAAGTTGTTTGAGGATTATATAAAGTTGTTATGATGATTTTGAAATAAGGAAGCTAAAATAATTTATTATTAAAATGAATTATTAAGATAAATGATAAAATTTGTAAATACAAGTTTAAAATAAAGGTCAAACTTTAAAATAAATGAGGAGTCAAAAAAGCTGACATACATATTAAAAAAACACCTCTTGGGGGCTTCTACCTTTTAAATTTTTGCTTTATTATAAGAAAAACTCTTTTTATAATAAGAGCTTCTATAAAAACCTATTTGACTTAAAAGAAGCTAAATTGAAGACCTTCCAAATACACACTTAGCCTCTTTTTATATGTGGCTGTGTTGAATTCAAAAATCACATTTATCACTCTCTTACTTTCTCGGGATAATTTAATGAGCATGACCAGAAAAGATGATATAGGTTATTCTACCTACCATTTTTTTGCCTACCTTTATCTACCACCCTTTAACACCGTTAGATTAGAATCCCAATTACATTTTTTATTTCTCTCTCCTATTGAAATTCTGATCTAACAGTATTGAAGGGTGATAGGCAAAGATAGGTAAAAAAAATAGTAGGTAGAATAATCTATCTTAGAAAAGATAGGCCCCAAATTTAATTGCATTGTGCCATTATTTGAATCTATATAACTCCTTCACCTTACCTGTGTTTATACACAAGGGAGAGTGAAAAGACCACCTATAGCGTCATGGCTAAAATTGTGTGTGCATTTCTTCTCCTTCTTGCCATGCCTTTTGTTATCCAAGTTGCCTATGTGAGTGAATCTTTCTCTCCCTCTGTTCCCTTACAAATACACTCTACACCTACGCATATGTCACTTACCAAAATAAAAATAAAAATGTGTACATATTATTTGTTTTCTCCTTGAATTCATCTTGACTTCTAATTTTTTTTTCTCCTCTTCTTTAAATAAAAAATTTACAGGCTGGTGGAGAAGGATCACTTCGTCCCCAAGGTACTAATTCTAGCTAATATTTCTGAAAATCAATATTTTTTTTAATTAATTTAATTTAGTTATGATGTTGACAACTCAAATCTTGGCTTCGTTCAGATTGTTCCAATGCCTGCGATGTTCGTTGTTCAGCGACTCAATACAAGAAGGCGTGTCTGACCTATTGTAACTATTGTTGTGCGAAATGTTTGTGTGTGCCATCAGGAACCTATGGTCACAAGGAAGAATGTCCATGCTATAACAACATGAAAACCAAGGAAGGAGGCCCCAAGTGCCCCTAATTGATGGTCTATTGTTCTGATTCTTATGAATAAAATTTATATCATTATAGTGAAGTTAATTTTTATGCTTGAGCTCACAAGACACTAGCATTCTCCTAGTTGGCTCAAATAAATGTTTCCGTTTTTCTCATTTTAAACATTTATCTTCTTCTTCTTCTTTTTTATTTTCAAAATCTTCTTTATCAGCAATTAAATATTTAAAAAAAAACATACATTACAGATAATTGTCAATTCCTAAGTGTTTCTACAACAATTAGCAGAGTGAGGAATGGGGATTGGGGATATCACAAGAAAGGGAAATTTTATCATAAAGAATCGTCAAAAAAAATAAAAAAATCTCAGCAACCAGAGTTTTATTTCCGAATTTGATACATATGAATTTGATTTGAGTGTACAACAAAAAATTAAAAATTAAAAAAATGCTGAGTAGAAGTAAAATATTAACTCGTACAGAAGGAATCGAACTCATGATGTCAAACATTAAATGTTGTATCAATGAATAATTATTATAAGATCTTTATTACTCTCATTTCAATGCAGAGAATAAATTTTCTACAACTGACTCATCCTATAAATTTTATAATTGTGCGTCTTACCAACCAAATATATGAATAAATTATATAGCTATTTTTTTAAAAATTGAATAAAAAAATTCTTGCGTGGTTATTGGATACATTCCTAGCACAAGACACATTGTATTCATATAATCCCATAAATTTTGTTACGATTTATTGGAATCGTCTAGGGGCGTTTGGTTGAGGAGAATTTTTTTTTTTTATCGTAGAATCTCGATTTTCAAAAATATAATTTTTACATTCAGTTTACAATAATATTCGAAATTTAAAATTTAGAAAAATTCAGTTTCCCAAAAATCTTGAAGAATGACGCGTACCAAACACCTCGTTAAGAGTGTGTCTATGTATAATTTGATCTGCTCCTTCTAAACAACTACATATTGAGCGGCTTGTCCCTGGATTTTGTTAAAAGAAAATCATGCTCTTCCTCTACAGGAGAGTAAAAAATTTTGATGCACAAATTCATTTTTAATGCCAATTAATTTTTTTTCTTTTTTAATATAAAATGTGAGATTCACATTTAATTTGTCTCTATTTTTGTTCTCTGGTGCTGTCATGCAACTTAAGAAAACATGAACCCTTTGTTAAATTGGAAAAATGCATATTACCATTTTATATAAAAGATATCATATTTTCAAATATGAAAAGACTTTATTCATAAATTCGATTGCCGTATGTCTCGGTGCAAAATTGTGCCTTGCTGCTGCTGAGTTAGCATTTCTTGTTGAACTCCTCACATCACTTTGACGAGCAAATATCCATTTCTCTTTGTTAAGAATTTCCAATTTTGGCTTCACATACAGTTTCAGTTCTGGGGACTGGGATCCATAACAAAGTTTAATAAACTTGCAGTTTAGCGATCTTATTGGCCTAAAGAAAATTTTCATGATTTAGAATATAGTTTTACGGGTAATCCTGAAGTAAACCCCATGACTGCATCTTTGCGTTGGATACAAAAATCCTTAAATAATTCATAACAACACATAAAATAATTAGTTTTATAAACTTTTTCATTACTCTTGGTCGTCTTCATAAATATGTTATTTTATTAAAAAATTAAAAGGCCACCTTGTAGCTTATTAGGCCAGACTTTTTAGAGTGAATATATGACTTAATTTTTAAATGGTTTTTTTTTCTGAAAACCTAATTTTCAGGCCAAGCTATAGACCGTAAAAACAAAAGTATAACGGAAACAAACTATCATTTTTATCTCGTTTTCTTCAATTGATAAATAATAATCAACATCAACAACACCTTAATCCCAAATTAATTAGAGTCAGTGGTAGATGAACTCAAATAAAAGATACAAAAAGATTGAAAAAAGAAAAAGAAAAGTAAAAATAAATAAATAGAATAGTAAATATATATATATATATATATATATATATGTAAGTAAAAAAGAAAGGGGAAAGAAGAAGAGGGGAAAATGAAGGGGAAAAGGACTAAAAATGGACCATTTGAAACATGGGAATAACAACGGGTTTAACCCTCCACCATACTTATAGCTTTTCTCCATTTCGTTTTAAGGCATACTGTCCGCTAATCTATATCCCACTCCATTAAATCTTGTTTTACTACCTTCTCCCAAGTAAGTTTCGGTCTACCTCTACCTTTTTTTGTGTTGAGCTCTTGGTAAGAAACTTTTGTTCTTACGGGAGCATCCAGGAGCCCCTTCTTATTACGTGTTCAAACCACCTCAATCTATGTTCTCTCATCTTCTCAGCCACCGGTAGTACTCCTCCCTTTCGTCGAATATCTTCATTTCTTATCTTATCCATCCTCGTATAACCACACATCCACCTTAACATCCTCATCTCTGCTACTCCCATTTTATGCTCATGTTGCCTATGTGCTGGCCAACATTCAGCTCCATATAGCATTGTATGTCTTACTGCTGTTCAATAGAATTTTCCTTTTAACTTAAAGGGAATTTTGCGGTCACACAAAAACCCAAATGCACTACGCCATTTCATCCACCCTGCTCTGATTCTATGATTTACATCCTCATCAATCTCTCCACCTTTTTGCAAAATGGAGCCCAGGTATTTAAAAGCATATTTCTTAGGTACCCTCTTGACCACTTAGATGCACGGGATCTTGGTCTACATCTCTTACCAGAGAAACTCACACTTCAGATACTCAGTCTTGCTCTGACTTAATGTGAATCATTTAGATTTCAATGTGCTTCTCCACAATTCAAGTTTTCTATTAACACCGTCTTTGCTCTCATCGATAAGCACAACATCGTCTGCAAAAAGCATACACCATGGCACTTCTTCTTGAATATCTTTTGTTAATTCATCCATAACTAAGGCAAAGAGATAAGGACTTAGAGCCGACCCTTGGTGTACACCTACCGTGATAGGGAAATAACTTGATGTTCTGTTACAAGCTTTCACACATGTAGTAGCCCCATCATACATATCCTTGATTGCCTTTACATACTTTGATGGTACCTTTTTCTTCTCCATAACCCATCATAAAACTTTCCTTCGAACCCTATCGTATGCTTTCTCAAGATCTATAAACACCATATGTAAGTCCTTCTTCTTTTTTCGATATCTTTCCATTAATTGTCGCATCAAGAAAATGACTTCCATGGTACATCTTCCTGGCATAAATCCAAATTGATTTACAGAAACCTTGGTATCTCTCATCAAGCGATGTTCAATAACCTTCTCCCACAACTTCATAGTATGACTCATTAGCTTAACGCCTCTATAGTTTGAACAATTCTGTATATCTCCCTTGTTTTTGTAAATAGGCACAATTATATTTTTCCTCCATGCATCAGGCATCTTATTTGTCTGAAGAATTTTATTGAAAAGATTGGTCAACCATTTTATTGCCACATCCCCCAGGCCTCTCCATACTTCAATAGGGACACCATCAGGTCCCAAGGCTTTAATTGATAAATAATAATACTTCAGTAAAATAATAATAATTCCAAGCTAAATTATTGATATTTAAAAAAATTGCTAAAGTATTATATTTTACTTGAAAAGATAAAAAAATAAACAATTATTTAAACACAGTGAAAACAAAAGCAAGTATGTTAATTGAACTTAAAAGTAATCATTTTTTTTCTAATCTAATATGTTGTTTTAGAAATAAAAAATTATCATTTTAAGAAAATTAATAAAGTATTGATTGTTTTTAGTATAAAATATTAAATATTTAATATTATCAGTAATTTTAAAATGTAAAAAAATAATATAGATAATTTTTAGGCAATTTAATAAAACGTAATTTAATTTAATATAATTATTTTTATTTTTAGTTAAAGTTATCTGATGAATTTATAATTTTTATACTTACTTAAAGAACAAAAAAATACAATTAATTTTACGTAAAAAGTATGTATAATTTTTTTAATTAATTGATAAATCCCTATAATATTTGAAACATATTGTAATAAAATTATAATATTTAAATATATATAAAATCAATAATATCACGATAATAAAAAGTACTACAGGACATCTATCATCGAAAATTTTATTTATCAATTATAATAAATTATTTGATTAAAATTTTATATAATTAATTATAATCAATTAATTAATTTATAGAACATTTTTATTAATTGATTTATACAACTTAAGCCACACAACATATTTAAAAATTTATAAAAATTCATAAAAGCTAAATACTAATTAATATATTATTGCATAATTTTTTATTAGTAATTTGTTTGAAAATTATTAATGTAATAATTAAAATTTATAATAATGTATAGATTCAAAATTTTAATTATTTAATATTTGAAGTAAGTATGTGTGAGAAAGTGAATATTTTGAATAAAGAGAAAGTAAAAATATTTTTTCGTTACTTTTTTTAGAAAAATATGTAAGTTAATGATATTGTGTCAGAAGACAAAATTTGACTGGCTTGTACACTTTTTTATTCAAATACAATAAAAAAAAATTAAAAAAAAAGTTAGTGTCACTAAAGTCGTGATACTCGAAGAAGTCTTGGGTATAACGGGAATAGGTATATCTTTATCAAAAAAGAGAGAAAATAGAAATATGAAAGGAAATAATTATAAAGATAAGGATAGTTTAAATGTATTATTTTATTTTTATACATAAATGTATGGGAAAAATATTTATCCTTTTAAATAACACAACTTATATCATTTCACTCTCACAAAGAGGTGGGACCCACATCTTTATTTTTTTGTCAACTCTTTCTCCTCCTTTTTTTTATCTCTTTCTCTCTCCTAAAATGACACAACTTTACATCCTTTAAAATGATACACACTTTACCCTAAACGTATTACTTATTTTATAGTTTAAATAGTCTGTTTCCACAAACCATTTGTAATCAATTCTCTTAGGATGTGTTTAGTATAGGTTATCTTCAAATTTTGCTAGGCATTTGAAAGTGGATAAATAAGTTGTCCATGTTTGATACAGGTTATTT